AGCACCAGTGTTATTACAGTGTCATTAAGTAAAGTGAAACAAGTAACAACAGTTATGAAAATGTCATTAAGTGTCATTACAGTGTCATTAAGTAAAGTGAAACAAGTAGGAACAATTATAAAGATGTAATTTAGTGTTAATGCAGTGTCAAATGCTATGCTAACAGAGTCAATTTTATCTAGGTTAATGACAACTTGTCATAACGAAGACATTTTGAATAATGTCAACTTTGTACTAAAAGTGTCATGATTTACCGAATGACACTTTATGACAACAGTCATAAATATTCATGAAGACTTATTGATGTTCATGACAGGTGAACATCACCTGTCATGACAGTGTTTATGACAGTGTTTATGACACTGTCATAAACCCTGTCATGACAGTGTTTATGACAGTGTTTATGACACTGTCATAAACACTGTCATGACAGGTGAACATCACCTGTCATGACAGTGTTTATGACAGTGTCATGACAGTCTTATTCACCCCCTTTCAAATAAAGTGTTACCGATATTTGTGTTATTAGATAACATAAATATCTGTAATAAGAGAGTCATGCTTAACTCCATCCGCATTTGACAACGCCATCTCTGAGTGCATTTGTATGCCAGATTGAGTGTATAAAATATGCCTGTCATCATTAAGCATGCGGTCTGTATGGTGCATGTTATCTGATATTCTCTTGAGACGTGGAATAAAATAAATGCACCCAACAATTTGTTGGCTGTTCAGAATGCGAGGTATCACTTTGGGTTACAATTCTGATTTGTTCTTTTTGCGCAGAAAACACAGCCTAAAGTGGAAGAAGAGGAAGAGGAGGAGGTCCGAAAGCAACCTGACCCTTTACACCAGCTCATCCTTCATTTCAGCCACAATGCTCTGACTGAATGCAGGTAAATTCACAGTCACACACACACACACACACACACCTGGCCACCTGGCAATGGCACAAGCTGCTCCATCTGTGATGCATAATTGCTTTGGACTTCTTCACAACTGATAACGTGGGTGTTAAGTGTGAATTGCCCATTTTTGTATAAAGTAGGGAGACCTCATTAATGTTGTTGGAACAAGTGGCTGAAAATGATTATTTATAGTTAGGATGTAAGTGTCAGATGTGCAAAGTCTAACTAGAAATGCATTTTTGTTTCATTAGTTCGTTGGAAGAGGATCCCTTGTATATTGCATATGCAGATATGATGGCAAAGGTACAGCATTTCCTACACTGTTTTTGTATGCTTCTTTGGAAATGGTGCATTTAAAATTGTTGCTTTCCATTTCAGAGTTGTGCTGAAGGCGAAGAGGAAGAAGAAGGAAAAGAGAAAACATTTGAGGTACTGTTACCTTTAGGGTTTCTTTTTTTTAATTATTATTAATTTTGTGAATACTTTTTACAAACATCTTGATTTCTAATAGGAAAAGGAAATGGAGAAACAGAAGATGCTGTATCAGCAAGCCCGACTGCACGACCGAGGAGCAGCAGAGATGGTTCTTCAAATGATTAGTGCCAGCAAAGGTAGTAAAACACACACACCTGTGTGCTGTCCTGCAGCGGCCATATTTGGTCAATTTATCATCCATTCTGCATCATCTCAGGTCGACTTGGTGCCACGGTGACTTTCACCCTCAAACTGGGTATCTCCATTCTCAACGGTGGAAACATCCTGGTCCAGCAGGTATGCATCGTTTCTCTCGTTGACCATTTACCAACTTCAGCTTATCTGAATAATCTGGCATTTATTATACAGAAAATGCTGGATTATCTCAAGGAGAAACGAGACGTGGGGTTTTTCAAAAGTCTGTCTGGATTGATGATGTCATGCAGGTAATGACAATACAATCGTTCAATGTAAAATATATATATATATATTTTTTGACTGAGTTACACCATGTTACACCATGTTTGACATAGAACTGGGGTAGAAAATTGGCTTCTCATAGCAACAGCAGTCAATAATAAATATAAGGTTTCCTCCACAGCATGGAAAAGCATGGAATTAGATTTATGTCATTTAATGATTTGGAAAAATAAACATTTTATATTATGACATGAATATATGTCTTTTTCAAAAGGATGATGCTAATCTTAAATATTTGGAATAATTGTTCAATTTCTTGAGGTATTCAAAATGGCAACTCAAATATTTCACTATAGAATATTTTGCTTTTGGGACCCGATAAATAAGCCTCAGAGCTTTTGACTTTTGCACGTTTCAACAGCAGATTTCTTTCCCCAACTTTGTAGAATTTGCTGTATAAGTTGAAAAACGCAGACAAATGAGATTCTGTGTTTTAAAGTTCATTCTGCATCATTTCTTAGTGTCCTGGATTTGAATGCCTTTGAAAGGCAAAACAAAGCCGAAGGCCTGGGGATGGTTACTGAAGAGGGATCAAGTGAGTAAGGATGATAAACGTGGTAAAATCTTCTTTGCAATCCTAGCTCTTCTTCAACATTGCTTCTGACTGATCCTGCCTGCTCTGGGGGATATTTAGTTGACTGAAACTGTTGTAAAAAAGTTCATTAAAGTCAGTTTAAAAATTTGAAGAAAGATTTACTGTAAATTGATATTTGTCAGTGATGAGACGCTAGACCCTCAGTAATAAAAATCCAGTAGTTCATTTGCTCTTTTCATACGCAAACCGTCTCCTAATAGATCAGTATCTTCATTAAAATGAAAATTAAATCCAGATAATAAAATCTGTGGGTTTTATTGGAGCAGCAGATGAGGCGTTTAACCATTTACTGATGCTGTATGTGAACAGATTTCTGGCTCAATCTGCTTTTGCCCAGCTGGTGGCGTTATCACCTCGTAAACTACCCCTTATTTTCACATGATGAGCTTCTGACCATAATGGCTTCAAAGATGACTGCAAAACAAAACAAAACAAAAAAGAGATAGGGTTAGCTTGCAAGAACATTTGCTCTTTGGTTTGTTATTCCTCAAATCCATCTCCATGTCATGTGTGTTTCTTGTTTCGTGTTGTCATGTCATCCCGCAGACAAACCTGTGCTACTGTATGTCAAAGTCCTGTCTGAGTCCCAAAAAATGTCACAAACACATTTACATATAATGTTTCTATTAAACTGATGGGTTGCATACAGTATGATGACTTTTTTTAATCATACATAACCCAGCTCATTTTCACCTCATAAGATCAGGCATAAGTGATGGTTACTGTTTTTCGTCTAAACCCCTGCCCGGTGAGCAACCTGTGCTTCCTGTAAGACTGCAATAATTGTTGCTGTATGTCAGTGTTGCCAATCAGTGTATGTAAATTAAATATATATATCTATATCTATAGTCCCATCATTGTTTCCCCTGTTCCTACCTATTCTGATTAAATTTCAATGTCTTCTCCTTTGCTTATGTCTGCCTTTGTTTTGTTTGTTTGTTTCCTTCTGATCATGTTTTAATGTCATCGATCCCAGTCAACGTGAGTGAGCGGGGTAAATACATGGTTTAGATTCTACTCATTGTATGCTGTGCTGACATCTTGACTGCTCTAGCTCCCTTTTTCTTCCTTTCCTTGTTTCCTCCCGGTTCCTGTCTCCTCTTCTTTCTTTTTTTATGAATGCGATGCATTGTCAATATTTGAACCCTGGACTGAGTAAACTAATGCATGCTCCTTTACTCTCCAGTTAGACCCCTAAGACTGTTTGAAATGTTTTAGTTTAGGAAATCAGTGCTTGCTTTTTTCCTGTGGGACCTTTATTTATTTATTAAATTTTTTTATAATACTAACCAGCGTGAATTATGAGTTAAATCTACCAAAGCTTTGTTTGTGTGAACAACAAAGCTCAGCTCTCTTCCTGTATTTTTTTTAATTTTTGGATTGATGCACTTGACCTTGTATGTGTGCTCTCAACAGAATAGTGCACAAGATTTAAGGTTGTTTGTCAACAAGGAAGCAGCTTTATAAGGAGGCAAACATTAAGAAAGCGTGTATGCCTGCATAGATATAAAAGCACGGATCAATATTTAAACTAAAAAATATATATTTTATGCTTGTTCTCAGGTTCCAAGGTTCTGCAAAATGATGAGTTCACTAAGGATCTCTTTAGGTTTCTGCAACTTCTCTGTGAGGGTCATAACAATGGTAGGTTGGCTTTTAAATGTCAGAATTTCAGATAATGTTTGATGGAGCCCAGTAAAATTTGAGAGTACAGATTTGGTGTAAATAAAGTCCTTCTGCTAGAAAAGATATTCTGACGCCTTGAACTTTTTTCAAATGTACTAACACAAAGTAGTGAATACATGAAGCGGTAGGAAATTTATAAATGGTTTTCCATTTCTTTTTATATAAAAATTTGAAATGTTTGGCCTCCATTCTTTTTTTTTTAGCCCTCCTTTCTCTGAGGTTTGCCAGAGTGAATAAACATAAAGCAGTCCAGTGAACACAGCAGACAGAATAAAATTGTAGAAAAATTTAAAATAAGTTAGGGAATAAAGCAAAATCCCAACTTCTGAATATCTCAGAGCAATGTGAGAATTGTAATGCTGAAAGAGCTGCAGAGATGCAGCTCAGGTGTAAGAATCCGTGGACAGGAAGTCTACAACATTAGCTGTTCACTCTATTTTCTTTATGTATGTATGGAAAACAAGAGCCAAAAAAACTTGATGTTTGCAGTTTCTTTCCCTCAAACATTCCTTTTCGTCTGATAGGCCTGAGAAGCAGATCAGAGTTGCTGAGCAGATGGATGTGACAAAATGTGAAGAAGGCTGAGGAAGTAATTTAAGTCATACTTTATGCTTAATTGTCTGTCATGTGCGTTTTAGATTTTCAAAATTTCCTGAGGACCCAAACGGGGAATACCACCACAGTCAATATCATCATCAGCACAGTTGACTACCTGCTTAGACTCCAGGTAGCCCACTGTAGCATGCAGACCTCCTGCCTTTCCTCTATAAAAGACAACAATTAACTTATTAGTTCCTCTTTTAGGAATCCATCAGTGATTTCTACTGGTATTATTCTGGTAAGGATGTCATTGATGAAGCTGGCCAGAGGAACTTTTCTAAAGCACTGTCAGTTGCCAAACAGGTCTTCAACTCTTTGACAGAGTATATACAGGTATTGCAACGCCGCACACTGCTCCACAGTTATCCATGTCACTCTTTTCATCCTATGAACCATATTGTTTGTCCTCCAGGGTCCATGCATCGGTAATCAGCAGAGTCTGGCTCACAGCAGGCTGTGGGATGCAGTTGTGGGCTTCTTGCACGTCTTTGCCAACATGCAGATGAAATTATCCCAGGTATTTGATGTATGTCAGCAGAAATAAACTCGAACTTGTCAGAAGTGAGGAAGTAGTTATTTGATAGAAGTGTTCCTATTGTTTTCATTTGTGAGCTTTGCAACCACTTCTTAGACTGTTATGCTAAAAAGTTTGGCATAATATTTACAACAATGTCTAACCATTTTACAGATGATACTTGCAGGGTGAAAGTTGAGACAATACATCTTGTATGCATCTTTCAGTTAAAGTGAAAATGATTTTCTTATTATATTTCAATGTTTTTTACAAATGATATGCATGTAAAGACTTGGCCACATTGTTGAGGAATCAGCTTGCAATAGGAAGTCAGCTTTGAAATTCTCTAAAGGTTGAAAGTATAGTCAAATATTTGCTAATGAACTTGTCAGCTGAACTGCATTTTCTGTTGTACATATTTTTGTCTGTAAATCCATAAATTGTTTAGAATTTTGGCTTTAAATAAATATCATAGGAGGTAATGTGGATATAAAAGTACATTTTCGGTCAAAGTCAGAATATAAATCCCCAAATAATTGTTTATATGGAACGACTTGTGCAGTTAAAATTAAAAAACCTGAACAGCATCAATGTTTTCTGAGACACCACTAGAGGTCCCTCCAGTCTCAATGATAACACCAGCGTGTCACTGCAATACAATCACGTCAGCCAATTTAGTTATAAGATTTATAACCTTATCTTATCATCTCTAAGGATTTAGGTGTGACAGTAGATGTTGCAGAGCACAGGTGCGGGGGGTTGAATTCAACCCATCAAAGTTAGGTTTGGATTTATGGCGTGGTTAATACAAGATCCAGAGAGACCCTAAATGAGTCAGAGTGGCCCAGCCATCTGCTCCTGGACGGTGAAATAACATCAACCCTGGTGATGATCGATGGATGTCGAGTTGAGGGACCGTCTGGCCCCCAGCAGAATCCGACGCAGCCTTGATCACTTGAGACTCAGCTCAGGGTTATTAAATAGTGCAGAGCAATCCCTACAGGAAGGCCATCAGTTGTCTGAGTGATATTTTTTCCCTTCTCGCAACAGGACTCCAGTCAGATTGAATTACTGAAGGAGCTCCTGGACCTGCAGCAGGACATGATCGTCATGATGCTTTCTCTTCTAGAAGGTACGTTTACTTCATGATTGAAATAGAAATGTATATAACCAACTGTTAGATCCTCTGAATTTTACAGAAAGTATTCATGCAACTTGCACTGTTTTTTAACATAATGCCAAGTTAAAGACCCAGTCAATGTATTTTGTTGTGATTGTCACAGGATAGGCCAAATCAAAGCAAATGGAGGGGTAAAATGAGCCAAGGTCTTCAAAGTCTTTGAATAAATAAAAATTAAGAGTGACTCGCAATGAAATTGCACCCCCTTACCTCTGATACCCCTACGAAATACAGTGCAGACAATGACATTCAAATGTTGCTTGTCAATAAATCCCTCTGCATGTAATTTAGATTTAGCAAATGGTATAATAAAGAGCAAGGGATATAGAAGTCAGGCATAATGAAAGATTTAAGCTATAAAACAATATTCCAAGCTTTGGATCTGAAAATAGTTGGCACTTTTGCCTTCCTACAAAAACATTGTTACTTTAGGGAAGATGCAGAGAATTCAAATGGGAGAAATTCTGGACAGAACATCTATTAATTGTGCACTTTATGAATCTGGATGTTATGGAAGAGTGCCAAAGAGAATGACTTTACTTGAAGAAAGAAGTGCTAAATAAAGCCTTGTAGAGGTCAGACCAAACGTGTTTGGGAATGTACTTTGGACAGATGAGACCCAAAGGTCTCATCTACTTTTTTTTTTTTTTAGCTTCATGTGAAAAATCATACAAAAAAGTTACAGTACCATAAACAAATCATTAGAATGTGGTGGTATCAACATGATGTGGAGGATGCTTTTCTTCAGCAGAGAGGGAAGTTGGTCAAGGTTGAATGAGAGATTGACAGAGCTTCTTTAAAAATAGATATTTCCATCAGGGCAGTACCTTACAAAATAAACGCAGAGCTACAGATTAACGCTTTATAACAAAGCAGGCTTGTATCTTAGAGTGGGCAAGTCAAAGTCCAGACCTAAATCCAAATGAATCTGTGGCAGAACGTACAGATGGCCTTTAATCCTGTTGACCTTGATCTATATTACTAGTGGAGACATTTCCCCAAAAAACATTGTGCTGTAATTCCATCAAAAGGTGGTTTTACAAAGTCCAATTAGATACACTGAATACAAAATGGTTGTCACATTTTCAGAAACTTATTTGTAAATAATTTTAAAAACCATGTGACATTTTCCAGTGCTTTGTTGGTTTATTGCAAAAAAAAAAAAAATCCTAATTAAAATAAATTGAAGTTAGTGTTTGAAACACAACAAAATGCAAAAAAAAAAAAGTTCAGCACTACACCTTTTTCCCATCGATGTAATTCCTAACAAACCCTTATTCGATCACCTTGTTGCTTAACAGGTAACGTTGTGAATGGAACTATTGGCAAACAGATGGTTGACACCTTGGTGGAGTCTTCAAGTAACGTGGAGATGATTCTGAAATTTTTTGACATGTTCCTCAAGTTGAAGGACTTGACGACATCAGACAGTTTTAGGGAATACGACTCAGAGAGTAAAGGCGTCATTTCTAAGAAGGACTTTCAAAAGTCCATGGAGAACCAGAAGCAGTACTCTCAGTCTGAAATTGAGTTTCTTCTCTCCTGCGCTGAGGCTGATGAGAACGACATGTTTAGTTACAAACAATTTGTGGAGAGATTTCACGAACCAGCAAAGGACATTGGCTTCAATGTGGCCGTGTTGCTCACCAACCTTTCGGAGCATATGCCCCATGATGCTCGTCTCTCTACGTTTCTTAACCTGGCTGAAAGCGTCCTGAGCTACTTTGAGCCTTTCTTGGGTCGTATTGAGATCATGGGTGGAGCCAAACGCATCGAGAGGGTCTACTTTGAGATCAGCGAGTCAAGTCGCACGCAGTGGGAAAAGCCTCAGGTGAAAGAGTCGAAGCGGCAGTTCATATTCGATGTGGTCAATGAGGGCGGCGAGAGTGAGAAGATGGAGCTGTTTGTCAACTTCTGTGAGGACACCATCTTTGAAATGCAGCTGGCTTCTCAGATCTCAGAGCCGGATCCTGTTGAGCGTTCTGACGAGGATGAGGACGAGAGCCAAAATGTAGTGGAGAACCAGGACGAGAAGGAAGAGGAGAACGTCATGATGGAGTCTTCCTCAGCTTTCACAATCGCCTGCATCTCAATGAGAAAGAACCTGTGTCACTTCCGACAACTGCTCACTCTGAAGAGCATGAGGCGGCAATATCGGAGATTCAGGAAGATGAGTGTGAGGGAGATGGTGAAGGGCTTCTTCTCTTTTTTCTGGATGATCATCACTGGTCTTTTCCACTTTATCTACAGCCTGGTTTGGGGTTTCTTCCACATCTTGTGGACCACTATGTTTGGGGGTGGCCTGGTCGAAGGGGCTAAGAATATGAAGGTGACGGATATTTTGGGAAACATGCCTGACCCCACTCAGTTTGGGATTCATGGAGATGTCCTGGAAACAGAAAAAATGGAGGCCAATGATGCCTCAGCTTTGGAGGAGATGGGTCAGATGGCTCAGGGCGATGCAGCGGAGACTGACCTGATGGCGGAGCTGCTCAACATACAGCCAAGGAGGGAGGGCAAGCATGGAACTGAGCCAGGCTTAGGGGACGTATCGGAGGTGGTGGTGGGAGATGCTCCATCAATAGCCAGCGCTGTCAGGCAGAAGAAGGCACAGGTCAGTAATAATACCTTTCAACTTCTTCAAATGTAATCATGTTACAACATCAATGTCTATTAATGGAATATTATGTGATAAAGTAACACAAAGTTGAACCTAATTTGTTCAAAAAATATTCATTTTTAATTTTTTTTTGCAATATCATTAAGCCTCTTGTTTTCTGAAAATTTTAAAGTTATTAGCTATTGTTATTTTGTTATTATTATTACACCTAATTAAAGACATAATGGTTTATATTTGAGCTACTAGCAAAATCAGCAAATGTAGATTAGAGTTAAACTTTACTGACAAAATGACATTTTCAAAATACGTAAACCAAAAGTATTCATTTTCAATAATTATGTTTTTTTCTTTATTTTCTGTTATTTCATTAGAAATAGAACCACATATATCAAGCAACTTTTACTCAAAACCAGATCTGGGTACACCCAAATTTGCATTTAGTTCATTTTTAAACATATCAAACAGGAACATATAAACCATGTTCCTGTTGTTAAAAATAGACTGTTAATGGGACCAAGAAAATAAAAATCAGTCGATACATTACCCTAAAAATATGGGATATATATACTTCTCTTTTTTTTTTACATTTATGATGTATAATAATTTACAGATTCTTAACCATGTGGAAAAAAAGTCTGAACAACACTACCACTTAGGAAACATTGGTGAACATCAGAAAGACCAAGGAATACAGCAGTCAGACATATGGACATATTCATGTGTTGAAAAGCAATGTAATAGCAGAAAAGAAGTTCTACTTAAATATTAACTCGGGCTGGTTGCTTTCATATACAGGCTATGCTTTCCAGACTTTTACTTGTAAGGCATTTCACAATTATACATATCTGTCACGTATCCCAATAGAAAACATTCACATCACTAATAATGACATTTGCGGTTGCAGTCTGACAAAATGTAAAGAAGTTCTCGAGACATGCATGTTTGTGCAAAGCAAAAGCAAACTAGATTAACTGTGAACCATAACTGTCTTGTGTGTTGTGTCATAATTTCTTTTGTGCTTCAGTAATTTTGACTTGAAAATAAATATTGAACACGCAATTTTTGAGCAGATGGCTGCAAAGAAGAAGGCTTCAACTGGAGACTACAAATCAGACTCAGAGAAGGGAGAGTGAGTGTAGTTTTTCATAAAGTACAAACTTTGTACTTGTGTGCATAGAAACACTTCTGCGTTCACTCTTATTCTTCAAACACTTTTTTTCCTCACATACTTCACACTTTCTGTCACTAATGGAATTTATGTTTGCAGTTCAGAGGATGGTGAGAAAAAGGACCATGACAAGGCCAAGGACGAAGCTCCACCACAGCATTCGATAGAGGAGAGAAGAGCCCCAAAGAAGAGGCTCAGCCTGAGGAAAGAACCACCAGAGGCCTTTATGGCCAGCTTTCTGGCTGGCTTAGAAATCTACCAGACTAAAATGCTGGTCAGAAGTTTACCTATGATTACTCTCAACACCAAATCAAATCCTTTCGCTTGGCCAAAGCATCTTAAAATCTGTTATGGTTGAGACTGATTAACAAGGAATTACTCACTGTCCATCAGGTTTAACAGTGAATAACCAAGCACACCCACACATTGCTTTGGAGGCAGTTGTCATGACAACAGGATAAGACAAATTTGGACTATAAAATACAGACAAATGCTTTGCCTTTTTTGCAGACTTCAACCACCGAATGTCTTTTTTTTTTTTTTGGTCTTGGTATTTAAAAAGCTCACCTGTGATGTTTCTGAGCAGCTGTCAAGCTACAGCATTTAGCCTGCAGCATTAAGTTTAGACTTTACATAAAAACCTGATCACATATCAACATGAAAATGTATTGCTTACAACAAATGAATTCTTAGTTAATTTCTTTTTTTTTTTTAAATGAAGCACCAGAACTCTAAAGAAAACTGTAATTGAATAAGTTGCATATATAACTCATGCAGACATTATTCTCATAATTTCTTTATAGAACTACCTGGCTAGAAATTTCTACAACTTGCGCTTCTTGGCACTTTTTGTTGCCTTTGCAATCAACTTCATACTTCTCTTCTACAAGGTACATTTGTTTTTAGATCATTCTGATATTACGATTGAGGATTTGACCTTGTTTGCTTCTTTTTTTTACATGTTAATAAAATGCTCTTTTAGGTGACCGGTGATTACTCTGAAGATGAAGACCCCTGGAACCGGAGAGGCAGAGAAGGAGAGGAGGAGGACGAAGGAGCACTCGAGTACTTTGTCCTGCAGGAAAGCACCGGTTACATGGCACCAACACTTCGTTGTCTGGCAATACTACATACCATCATATCTTTCCTGTGTGTGGTGGGATATTACTATTTGAAGGTATATTGACAAAAAATGTCATTATGTAAGCTGTCCATTGCAAATCTATTCATTCCCTTGAACTTTACCACTATCTGCACAAAACTATATGATGGTTATATGTAAACATTCTGCATCGTTGCAGTAGCTTTATTAGAAAGGTAGATTTTTTCTTTCTTGAGTGGGAACCATCTTGAAAACCTCATTAAATAGCTTTTCTCTGCCTCGATTAAATAAAGCTGTTAAAAAAAAAAACACTCAGGAATCTTATTGCTATTCAAATTTAATCTTAGATTTTTCATTGTATTTTTCCAAAGACTTATTTAGATTTTGACTTCTTGAACATGAAATTCAATTTAGTATTTATAATCTCTGTTTCTCTAAAAAAAATTGTGGGATGTTAGTGTTTAAAACTTGAACCTAAAAACGTGTTTTTCTTCACAAGGTGCCTCTGGTTGTGTTCAAACGAGAAAAGGAAATAGCTAGGAAGCTGGAGTTTGCAGGCCTGTATATTACCGAGCAGCCGTCTGATGACGACATTAAAGGACAGTGGGACAGGCTGGTCATCAACACCCTGTGAGTCTGTCTCAGAGAGTTATTTCTCTCTGAGCTGTAACAGTGGTTTAATTTTTATGTGTGCTTTTGTGGCTTTTATCAGCTCCTTTCCCAACAACTACTGGGATAAATTCGTCAAACGCAAAGTAAGTTGTTTAAATATTTGTTTTCTTGCTTAAATCTGTAATCCACATGAGCTCTAAAGTAAAAGCAAAAGAGGAGCCTCCCTGCTCGTCTTCTCACTCGCTTGTTTATTTTTGTGACTGCGGTTTGCAGGTGATAAAAAAGTATGGAGATCTGTACGGAGCCGAGAGGATAGCAGAGCTGCTGGGGTTGGACAAGAGTGCTCTGGATTTCAACCCCACAGAGGAGACGGTTGCCAAGGAGGCATCGCTAGTGTCATGGTGTGAGATTGGAGCAATAAATAGCTACGGGACTGGAACTGTATATGAAAAAAAAAAGGAGGGCAAACAGAAAATATGAATGATTAATATCAGCTTCTTTCCTTTTCCAGGCTGAGCTCAATCGATACAAAATACCACGTCTGGAAAATGGGAGTGGTGTTTACGGACAACGTAAGTCGACATGAGAAGTGACAACCATATTTTGGGATTTTCCTTTTTGTGTCACTCAGTTATTGATTCTGATCATTTTGTGTCTGCAATAGTCATTCCTGTATCTAGTTTGGTACACAACCATGTCCATTCTGGGCCACTACAACAACTTTTTCTTCGCTGCCCATCTGCTGGACATCGCCATGGGTTTCAAGACCCTCCGCACAATCCTGTCCTCCGTCACTCATAATGGCAAACAGGTAAGAAGATGGAGGCACGTCTTCTTCTAGACAACAGGGGTCAGTGCTGAGTTAAGGATTGAGGGTAAGGTTTGTGTGAGGCACACAATAGATTTAGCCTACGAGCTACAATCAGCAAAAGAAGATCATAGTCTTTAATTGTTGCTTTGTAAGTCAAGAGAAGTAAGTAGAATTTTTAATTGAAGTACTTTAAACTATAAACCAACTTTCACTATATCACTGCAGTTACATATGCAGTTAAAACTGAGTACACTAGTTAAACACATTTTAACTAGTGCATTTTTTTGGTTCAACTAAAACCAGGCTTGAATACTGCCTGACCTGTATGTGCAGTTTTTTTTTTTTTGTTTTTTTTTAAACAACTTATAGGTTATGCAAGGTAATATGCAGTAAGGCTGATAAAGAATTGTTTTCTCATTGAAATTTTCTCGCATTCTGAACCACAACTATAAAATAACCAGAGGCATAAATCAAACTTTAATTTCATCATAGTCTCAGAGGTGAGAGAACATCTAAAATGTTTGAGACCTTTAGGAATTACTGAGACTTTTCAAAGTCATTGACCTGTGGGTAGATCCATCAATCATGTTTGTAGTCCAAGTTTAATTTTTTGCAGCTTCCTTGATTTTAACTTTTAAGCTGACATGCAGATGAGTGTTTGGGCCAAGTCTGGACAGAGCCTTATGCTAAATGTAAAATTAAATTAAATTTGATTTATGACTAGCAAATAAATGCTGCAGCTCTTTTGATCTCACCTGCTCCTCTCTACAGAGATCCCACTGTTCTCCTTGTTAAAGAGAACGAGTGGTGATTGTCAAACCTGCCTCTGCTGTGCTGATTACGTTTCAAACCAAAACATGTAATAACAGTACAGTGGCAGATGGTAATGACTGTTCCCCATTTTCCTCTGCAGCTTGTGTTGACAGTGGGCTTGCTGGCAGTCGTGGTCTATCTCTACACTGTGGTGGCCTTTAACTTCTTCAGGAAGTTCTACAACAAGAGCGCGGATGACGATGAGCCAGACATGAAGTGTGATGACATGATGACGGTGAACGGAAAACGCCATTTAATTGTTTTGTTGTTGTTTTTTTCTCTCCAACTTAACTTGTGTCTCGTTCTCACACTTAAAACAATTCTCCATTTTTGTTGTCGTAGTGCTATCTGTTCCACATGTACGTTGGGGTGAGAGCAGGAGGCGGCATCGGGGACGAAATCGAGGACCCGGCGGGCGACCCGTACGAACTCTACCGCATCCTTTTTGACATTACGTTCTTCTTCTTTGTCATTGTTATCCTGCTGGCTATCATTCAAGGTAGGTTTGTCAAGTGTACACACAGTTTTTACGATAAATGTTTTTAGGAAAGGATAAAACGATCTGTTTCATTTGGCTCAAAGATGCTGTCTGATATTTTGTATTACGTACTCCTCACTTCCCGATCAACTCTTTTAGATTTTGTCACTTTATAGCCGGAGAGGGTTCTGTGATACACGAAAGACAAGTGGTACAAAACTGTTAATACATGTAGAAATGAATAGATAGCTTGATAAAGTCATTAATGTGCTAAATATTTCATGAAAAAAAAAATTCTAAACTTGTTTGAGTTTAGAACTTTCACATGTTAGACGCAAACTAATATGTTTATCATTTTTAAATTAAAAATGAAATTTAAAATTTAAATTTTATTAGTTTCCTTATTTTTTTCAAATTTTTCATATTGTATATTTATATATTTAGTTATTATTTACTCTTACTTTTTAGCATGTATTGATTTATTTTGTCTATTTTTATCCCCTGCTGTTTCTATCTTTTGTCTGCTTTTGTTTTTGTTGTTTTTTTAAGATTTCTTTTATTTTCGTCATGTTCTCTTTTGCTTTTCCTTCTGACATTTTATGAGACTTTAAATTGGAAAAGGGGGAAGATGAGGAGAGGGGGAGTCTGATAGGTGGGGATATAGATTCAGCTTTCCTCCTATTGGTCAAAGTCAAGATCCAAGCTCCCCCTCTTTAAAGATCATTAGTTTTTACCAAATCATATAAAAGTTTTTTAATGGCCCAGTCAAAGTCCAGACCTAAAAACTTGTAATTTGCTGTCAGATTGCTCCATACAGTCTGACTGAGCTTGTGGTATTCTCCAAAAATAATAAGGAAAGATTATTTGCAAAGTTGATAGTAGCACAAAGTGAAAGGAGATTTTACAAAGTATTGACTCAGGCAGTGTGAATACAGTTGCAGTGCATCTCATAAACTCCCCTCAAAAGAGTGACTTTTGCAGCTGCAACATGAAAGAAGGAAAATAGTTCAAAAGTGCATCTGCAGAACACTGTTTGTGTTCAGGATGATGCTTATTTATGCCCATAACATCTGTTTGTGGATGTAGGTTTGATTATTGACGCCTTTGGAGAGCTGAGAGATCAGCAGGAGCAAGTCAAAGAAGACATGGAGGTAAGAACATGTTTTACATAATTTAATGGGGATTTTGACCCAATTTCAGGATTTTTTTGTGAATAGTGTATGTTTTGTCTCTGTCAATCCATACATTTAATTATTACATACATAATGGGGTAATCTTAGACAAAATATATGATGGAGGCAAAGTAAAATTGCATGCTTTTCTCACACTACATACAACTTAGCATGCCTTCTTCAGAGTAATTTTCTCAGCCTTAGTATTCACATAAAACATGAATCAGGTGCTGACCTGGGGAAGAATACCTTCTATCACACTTATCAAACACAACAATGCTAGTGAAGCAACGTAGAATAAATCCTATAAACACGTTTTTATCTTCTGCCCTCAGACTAAATGTTTCATTTGCGGCATTGGTAACGACTACTTTGACACAACGCCTCATGGCTTCGAGACTCACACCCTGCAAGAGCACAATTTGGCCAACTACCTGTAAGTACAAATCTTCACGGTAATTAGTACGTCCATTTTTCCTCATGTGTTGCTTTTGATCTTTAACTATTTGACTGGTAGATTTAGCACATTGGCACAGTACGTGGGGCGAAACGATCCAGATAACTCGATCCAGGAGATGCCCCTCCCCCCCCCGGTGTGCTTCCTCTGAACTCCCTGCTTGGCTATGGCTTCTGCATAACACCACTAACAACAGAAAGTCTCAGTCCATTTGCTCTCACAGTCAGCTAGCCAGTGGATCCGAGACGACCTCATTATCTCGCTTCATTACTATTTAATGCTATGAACTTTATTGGAAAATAAGTTTGCCATAGTGCACTCTCATGCAGTATTCATTATGAACCGGCGTGCTGTGACGCCCACAGAGATCTGGTGGCTCGTTGCCATTTACACCTGATTTTGAAAGCAGCAGGTGATTCGGGGATGGAGGCAGGGTTTTGTTGCTTTGTTTAGACTCTCGCCTCAGACATTGATTGTCCAAAAATAACGTGGCATCATGTAACAAATTTGAATCTGCACATCTCATTTTCTCTCTCTCTCTTGTCTGTGCGCAGAATGTTACGAACTGACGGTGATGTCTTTGTCTTTTAAGGTTTTTTCTGATGTACCTCATCAATAAGGATGAAACAGAGCACACTGGTCAGGTAGAGTATCTTCTCTATGCACAAAGCCGAAGGGTATCATTATAAGATCCTTCAGCCATCTGTCCGATCTTGTTTGATTATAAAGATGCAAAAACCAGTTGTTAGCTACTTAGGTTTGAGGTGCATCAAACTAGTTAAACTAAAACGATTCAAACACATTCCAAGTGCTGAGAATATGAAGAGAAGAGCAATTTCTATTTGTTAAGAAAATGATCCTGAATCAGAGAATTGCTCCCTCTGATATGCAAAAATGTTGTGTGAGGATTTCAAGTTCCTTAATTTAAGCTGGCTTTTTTAATCTCATAAGACTGTCTCTGCTTGGTGCCCAGGAGTCCTATGTGTGGAAGATGTATCAGGAGCGCTGCTGGGATTTCTTCCCAGCTGGAGATTGCTTCCGGAAGCAGTACGAAGACCAGCTGGGATAGAGGAGATGCGTTTTCCTCTTCTCTATTCAGACAGATACAACACACACACACATACACAGTCAACCCAGCATTGCTTTGAAAATGTTTGGCAAGAAGCTTAAAGAAATGTTTTTATTAAAAACAAGAGATGAGTGGAGGTCATGTTGATCGCCACTGTTGGTACAGAAACAAAAAAAAACAGGATTCTGACTTGTTCAGACTTATTTGATCTGTTTTAGATTCGGGATTTGTTATTGACGTGTGTTGCCTTTTCAACAACATAACCCCAAGTTATTGCACAATTTTTTTTTTTTTATATTTATTTACTTATGTATTTATTTATAGTGTTTTGGAAAAAATAGTGGGTGTGTGGGGTTATCAGACAATGTTTCAGTCAATATTATGCACAATGTATGAATGTCGAACCTGAGACTTAATGCCAAAAGAAAAGCAGAGAAGTGTAGAAGATAATACTTAGTGGGCAAAAATGTGACTACAGAAAAGTTTTATTCAGATGTTGTAACATTGCATATTAAAGTGACGTTTCTGGAGAGAAGTGGCAAAAGGTAAAATAAATGCCTAAAGTTCTTTATGAAGTGCCTTACAGTACTGTATCTACATTACAATGAAGCTATGCAAAATGTTTTTTGTTTTTTTTCCATATTGTATGTAATACAATAGTCTTACTGGAGCGATAATCTGTTAACTGACCAGATACAGTACGTAGTTTGTGGTTAAACGGGGAAAAAAAAAAAAAAAAAAAAAAAAACGTTGGTATTTCCTATTTTGTTGCTGAATGCAGCATAACTTCAAATGTTCGAGATACAGTGTAAAAACAACAAATGGAATAAACCGATCACCCCTCAACGTCAACAAAAAAAAAAATAAAATAAAATAATGAACTGCTATTGTATGGCGATTTGTATGTAATAGCTTTGCTGATCTGTGCATTTCTTTTGATGGAAAAGAAATAAATTGTTGAAGAACTAATAATGTTTGTGTACGTCTTTCCGGTTGTGGAACTGCTTTTCAAACATAAAGCTGCAAGATGTGCCAAGGCACAAAAGCAGGATCTGATGTCTGTCCATTCTGCTGGATGTAATTTTTGTTTCTTCTTAGTAATATAACTACATTAGGTTAGTTGAAAATAGATTGATGCTCATGAATAAATCAGTCCATAGCTTTTTAAGATCTCTCTGATGGATGTTTACTTCCTTTGCTTGAGATATTGCACTAAAGGAAGTATGAGAACATCTCCGTATGCACCTCAGGATTTAGAGTGAATGTAACATCAACAGAATACCAAAGACTTCTGTTGAAAAAATATGTCATTAACATCAAATTTATTATCAGTTCACCCATAGATACCCAACCAAGTACCCACTAATTCAAATCTATAAACTACCTATTAAAGACGAATTATAAACCACCAAAAAAAAAATACTGAAAAGCGCAATAGTTAATCGATGAAGATCTAAAACTGATTCCCATGTTGTCTTTCATGCTGCCATTGTGCAAAAGGTTGTATATATGTATATATAACAAAAATACATTTGGGGGTATATATATTAGGAAAATCATTGTTTTCAAATGATGAGCAAAATTATTGTGTACCTAACAGTTACCCTAATCTGAATTTTGCTGTTGGAGGCAGAGCATCACCGTGTTGTTGACTTCTGCATGTAGATAGGTCAGAAACGTCTTCAAAAGGCCTGCTTTGCATAATGATACAGTCCATAGCACAGCTAGACCCAGTGCTGGTTACTCTTTATGTGAAATCTCTTGATCTGAATTGGTGTCAGATGTTTTGTTTGGCGGACAAAAGAAACATACATTCTATTGCGGCGATCACATATGGATTTAATTGCAATTTAATTCAAAAAACTAATTCAAATAAAGAAATTGTATTATCTTTTTTATTTTTTTATTTTTGCAAAGCAATCAATGTCATTTTATTTATAACGTTCACTTATTAACTTGAAAACAACATCACAGAAAAACAAACTTAAATTGAATTTGTTTTCATTAGCAGAAAATCATAATTAACAAACATACAGTGTTGAAAACATTAGTCTGTGAACAAAGTTTGTGGATGAATCACTTTTTTGATCGCATATGGATTTAATTGCAATTTAATTCAAAAACTAATTCTAACCATTGGAAATGCAATCATGGAAATCATTATGAAATGTTAAATATCCAATCACATGCAAGGAAATTATGGGGATGTTATAAAACATGATCTGATGTGACTGAACTTTTACATCATTCTGTTAAGATGGCAGATAATAGCAACACATAACGACAGCATAGCAAGGTTGTTTAAGGATTTGCCTCGACTAAACCTATTTTACCATGAGTGCATTTAAATGGTGATTGACCTGCTGAAAGACAGTTACTGTATGCAACACGGTCTGTTGCTATAATCTGCCGACTGTGTGCACACAGCTTTAAGCTTTACTTCTCAGTTAATTTCAGTCACACCACACCTCATAGCTACATCCCAGTTGTGACTTTGCTGCAGCTTTTAATCACAATGCGGTAATGAGCGAGAAGCGGCTGAGTAGGTGAGCACATTTGGCCAGCCAAAGTGATAGGAATGGGTCTCAGCAGGCTGCATGATGGGAGTTTTAGCCCTATTACCCACAGTGCCACCTGTCAGCCCACATCATGTCACCACACCTCAGGCACCACATAGTGCTGCAGCCTGCTGCTGAGATCCCCTCTGGAAGTAGCAGCTTTTGCCAAGATTCGGATGGTCCCGTGGAATATTTTACACTAAATCCGAACGGGACCCGTTGCCGTTATCCTCCGATGACATGATTTCAAACCTTGGCGCTTAAAAAGTCACATTCATTAATAAGAATATTAAAAATGTATCTGTCTATGATACATTTATTTTTAACATCTCCTGCTTTGAGTGCAGCATGTTAAGCAATGATGCTGTCAGGAAAATATCTATAAGCAAAGAGAATTGAGTATTTATTGCATCTATTTCCTGTCTAAACAGGAAATAGCTGTTTAGACAGCTATTTTCTGTCTAAACAGGAAAAATAGCTGTTTAGACAGCTGTTTCCTGTCTAAACAGGAAATAACTGCAATTAAACTGTTCAATAACCACAGGAATTATAATATGTGCTTGGAACAATTTTCAGTTTAGAACACTTTGCTGATTTGTGCCTTGCACAGGAAGCAAGAACATGGGACGTTCTTGGTTTAACGTCCCATGTTTTATCAAGTTGAGTATCGTAGCAACATCATCTTATTAACAAAATAAACAGGCCTGGATCATGTTCATTCAATACACAGATGGCTAAATTATAATGAAGTTTTGAGGATGTGCAAATATTTATTGCGACTAATTAAGTTTTATTGTTAATTTAGGTCTCTTGTTGTTTATTTATAACAATTCTCCACATCCACATGCTGTTAATTTTTTCCTGCGTACAGTGAGCCGAGGAAATTGTCAACACTTAGAGTTGTCTGTTAAATATCAGCATGAAAGAGTTTATTTTCGTGGCTAAAATAGAAAACAGAAAAAGAAATGACCCGAGTAACACGACATTGGATCGCAACAATTTTAAAAGCAATTTGTAAGGTATGCAGCTCTGTGGAAAGAAACAACAGCAAATATATTACATAATACAGTTACATAATAACTGTATCAAAGTATAGAAAGTCAGATTTTCTTGTATAGAATGGAAAAGACAACATTGCTCTTTGATTTTATTTGGTTGCTGCCATGAAACACAAAGTTATCCCTGTAAAAAAAAAAGGTATGAAAACAATCGTTATCACATCCACCTCATCCTCAGAGTGAACAATCTATCCTTTAAAAACTGTGCAATGCGTCAAACAGTGTCTCTACACTCTTACATGAATGCAATGAAGAGAAAACTTTCATATAGTCATATTCGTTTATTTAAATAAGTATTAGAAGAACATTAGAACAAGAGTTTTTACATTATTTGTACCTTTGAGCTCAGTCCATGCAACTCTAATGTCCATTCCATTCTTAATCTAGAATGTGCTACAGAGGATCAGCTCCAGCAATTGTCCTGCCAAGGAAATGGTACATCTCTGCACAGAAGCAATGTATCCATATTTACAAATTACTTTTTTTTTTTTTTTTTTTTTGCTCCAAATGTTTGATTTTAATATCAGACAAAATTAATCTGAGGAGAAATAAAACACATTTTTCAACTGATTTCACTTACGGGAAAAGTCATCTAAACAAACAAACAAAAAAAGGCCCAATTTAAAAGAACACAACTGTGAAATTCTGAATTAAATATGATTAACTCGTGGAACAATTTTGCATAAACACCTAAAAGACCGATTAGCCCAACATTTTTGGGCTAATCAGGGGGCACCATTTGCTCTCTTCTTTCTGAAGCTCCTCCCCCCCGCCCCCCTCTTTGTGTGACTCCCATGATACCAACAGCTGATGTAAAATGGGCGAAAGTTGTATCTGGCATGTCAGCGTGGGCCCTTGCATTGTGCGTGGCTGTTGTGGAGTGACAGATTGTTTGGGAGGGTAAAAGTGAGCAGCTTGAGTTACAGTCTGTGCTGTCACCTCCAGCGGCCCACCTGCAGACAAACCGCCAACTGGTGAAGAGACGCCACATCCAGCACAGTCTCATTGTGTTTCTTCTCAGGTGCTTCTCATACAATACTGCACAACAAACAACACCCCATAGTAGCTAAACCAATTTCTAGGTCTTTCTGTGCCAATTTTCTTGTTGCTCTTAGATCATTGGTGTACAGTTTGTGATTAAACTGCATCACCCTCAAGTCATGACAAAGAAGAAAAATAAAGAATTTGTATTATTATTATTATTTTTTTTTTGCAAAGCAATCAGTCTAATTTTATTTATAATAAACCATTCATTTATTAACTTGAAAACAGCATCACATAAAAACAAATTAAAATTTAATTTGTTTTCATTAGCTTTCAGCAGAAAATCATAATTAACGGAAGTCTGTGAACAAAGTTCCTAAATGAATTACTTTTTCAGTGATATTGTAATAAATGAAATTACTGTAATATTTTCAGTGACATGATTTCAACATTAAACTTGGGCAACAATCCAAGTAATCCACACATCTAAACATAAAAAAAAA